TCAAATGGCCTGGACTTCGGTGGAAAACAAAAAGCGGCCCTAAATCAATCATGGCCAGCGACATGTCAACATGTTGGGCAGGGGGATAAGAGGTTGGTAGAAGGATCTGGTTTTGTGGACAGCGACTGCGACTGGGATCCGACTCCCGCGCCCAGGCGAAATGTCAACGTGATCGTGGGCATCTTGAAAAGGGCCGCCGTTGCGCATATATTGACCAAAAACAAACAAAACCAGAAAGCCCAAGGAACGTGGCATCGCAAGTGCCGGGGGAGTACCCAGTATCGATACCGATCCTCCACAGAGTTCTCCTTCGTTTTTGTGTGCGCGTGATATCTGAACTACGAAATTGAGATCGATTCCCGGTTACGTGTCTGAAATGTGAATCAATGTCCGAGATCCAAGGGCCAATGCCCAGCCAGCCCTTTGTTGTAACGATAAATTATGATATTATTTGAAATTAATGTTAAGTAAAATGACATCAGTGGGTCTTCGTCTTCGTCTTCGTCTCCATCGAAGCTGCACTTGTCGTCGAGAGATTGTTGCATTCAAACCAATTAATATTCGAATCAGATCCGGGCGGAACACATGTCGTCGAGTTCCAATGCACTTGGATATATATTTTGGATCGCGGATCGTGTCGCTGATTTGTTCGCTGTCATAATTCAATAAAGTAGTCAAAAGTCTGCCTTGAAGGAAAGCCAGCAAAAAGTTCGATCTCTCCGGCGTCTTTCTTTGTATCCAACCCATCCTCAAGGTATCTCCACAATTCTGTCCCCGGGTTAATGGCCATAAACGCAAATCCGCTTAGCACTGCACCAGGTTGCACTGAGCTCGGTCTGCTTATTAATTCATCAGATGTCTTCCTCTGGGATGTGAGTAAGGGAAGGGGTTTGGTATCGATGTCAGCATAGATTGGGAATTCCAAGAGCTTTGTGTTTTTTGGGGTCTATATATTCTACAGGATTCTACTACTAAATAAAGAGAAGTTGTATCAAAAACTCGATCATATACTAATCTTGAAATCTACAAGTTAGAGAGAGTATATAAAGGGTTGTTTATAAAGGTTACGTTCAGTACTTTATAATGAAATATTTCTAAACCCATCCAATATAATATTTCTTAAGCTCATTATTTAGGACTGAAGGTGACTGAACCTTGGGCTATACCCAAAACAGGGTTATGGTGATTCTACCTTAGGTTCTTAGATCTAGATACATGATCTTATAAGACGCGCTCTAGCTTACTTTTTTCTTGCGTTTTCCACGAATCCAACTCAGCTGGACAGCCTGATATATGTACGTAGCTGGGAAATAAACGATCCCGATGATGGTTGGCCAAAGGGACGAGGATGGGCATGGGCATGGGCCAGGGAGTGGGCTATGGTGGACAGTTGGACAACACACTCGACGATGACGCGACAACGAAGGAGCAGAGCTGGCGGAGCAGCAAGAAGACAAACGTTCCGGCGACAAGGCAGCAAGTGACAAACGTTTAGATGGATGGATCGTTCTTCATTTTGGGGGAAATGGAAGCGATCCGATCGGTTCCAAAAAGAGACCCCGAGAGAGGTGGCCAACCGAGAAAAAGCGACGATTGCACATAAATTATATTCAAATTTTCCTACAGATCTTAGAGATATATATGTATACACGGCATATGCCAGTCTGATATCCTGCTGAATCCCTTCTACTTTTATATGCAGAAATGTGACCCTCTCTTACTGGGTATCTTTTGTGGAAATCCCTCAGTTACGCGCCAAAAAATCAGCCAAGTGTCACCTGGCTGGACTCCATCCTCCATGGTTAGTATCTCCGTATTCCCATTCATTTGAACTCCATTAAAATTCAACTGACAGCTTCGATTCACGTCGCCAACAAATTGGCTTTTTGGAATGGGCTGAATACTATTTAGATACGGCTAGATCTCTGGCCAAAAACTGCCACTGATTGATGTCAATGAAAACCGAACAAAAGGCCTGAACAGAACAGATACAGATACACAGTAGGCAAGGAAAGAAAAGATACAATAAGAAGCGATGGGGAGATTCAGGAAATTACTTTAAAAGTTTATGCTAAATACTATTTACGAAGAGGTGTAGTCTTTAAGCATGGGTATTGTTATATATTTTATAAATTAGTGCTTAGATTATATATTAGTATTAAGAAGAGGTATTATATCTTAAGATTCACATTCTATCTTTCTACTTGAAACCTTCCCTTAACTTTAAGGAGATTTTGTATGGTTAATTCCTTATGATATGCTTATTCCATATAAATGATTGGAAATTAGCTGATTTTCTAGAAAAACTGAAGGGGTTTGTTACTAGAAAATTTACAGGAGACTCAGGAATAAAGTGTTGAAGAAAATATTAAAAACATCATATAGTTAAGAGAGCTCTGAGTTAACCCACAGACTTTTGGTTGTTAGTCTTGCAAAATATTACAAAATAGTTTCAACTTTTCCTATATTTGTATATATAATTCTTTTCTAAACTATTGTATCTTAATAGCTATATCTTTACGATGACATTTCCCATTTCAAAGCGAGAGAACAATGCCAGAAATGTTTGCTATTCTGTTTGGTTCGTGTTTTTGCCTCCATTTGAATTAGTGACAGCGTCTGGGATTTGTCTAATTGGAAGAGGCCACGGCCGCTTTGATCTAGCCAAATGTCCAACTGTCCGTCAGGAGTCATGAGTCATCTGCATCCACAGCCACATCCGCATCCGTATCCGAGTCGCCAGTCCCTAGACTTTAGCTGAGCCGAGCTGAGATACACAGTGCTGCGGCGTACTTACAGATACATAAGGAGGGAGACCGAGGAACTGGGCTCTGTGGATGGCTGTCAGAAATTGCCAGCGGGCACATTAATCCACGCGACATATTTATGAGTGTAAGTGTATATGCCTGGGCCTGTGCCTGTGCCTGTGCCCGTGCTCCGTGTATCCGTGAGATATAAAGATATCGCCGTCGCCGTTGCCGTCGTTGTCGTCGGCGAACATGGACGAGGGTTGCTCTTTGCTAAATGAGTGCACATTTCAGATAAATTATTGCACACAGCTCGTACGCGATGGCAGGCCGAAATGTATTTAACAAATTAAATTTACACACAGATACACACACACACATGCGCGTAGTATGAGTTCGCGGCAAAAGGCACTTCAAAGAGAGCGCCGCACCGGAACGGCCACAGAATGGGCGGAGCTACCTTTAACCAATGCTTGGCCAGCACTCTCTCACAGATACACACATGCCCAAACGCGATGCGGCGGGAGAGCGATAGATACACGGGCTACACAGATGCAGATACGCAGATACAATTGCTTGCACAGATACGAGCGAGAGATACTTATTGAAAGGCAAACTTTGCGGCTAGAAATACCTCGTAATGGTAAGTCTATTTAGATTTTAGAAGATTTGATAGATATTTGCAATAAGTTTAATTATTTTTTACAAGTTTCAAGTGCCTTAGGTTTAAATAATTCATACCTAATATTATAAGCTTAAATAACAAGGGTGGAAATATGAAAATAGCTTATGATTTTGATTGATTTTTCATTTGAATTTAGTTCAGTAATACATCAAATCAAATGTATCTATACAAATTAGTTACTAATGAATGCATAAACAAAAATGAATCTACAATAAAACGAAAGTATCTTAACAAGCTTTCAAGGCACTATAATTCCTAAATGTAGGTACAGATACGAATAAGTTATAAAGTTTCTTTTAAATCTTACAAAACCTCATTATGCCAGTGAATATTTTAAACTTGAGTAAATCATTTCTAAATATTATTATCATATTAATCTCTAAATAAACCTTTATCATTAAAGGGTATCTTTTGGTCGTGCCACAGTACATTTTTCACCCTGGTTTTTCGAAGCTTTTGCAGATATAAATACGGATAGCCAGCAGATGCGGATGCAAAGGGGTATATGAGGACCGGGGAGTATCTCATCGATTTTTTTTTGGAGTTGGACTCTCCGATTTTGGGATGACGTTGAGCGTTGGACGTTGGAATGCGTGGCACGAGACAGAGATGCCTGTCACGTGACAGGCGGACATGTATCTGCATCTGTGTATCGGTATCTGAGCCGCCGCCGCCGCCGCCGCCTCTTGTGTATCTGTATCTGCATCTGCACTCGTATCTGTGCTGCAGCGTAAAAAAAATTCGATGAAATGGCGGATTCGCCAGATACACAGACTGCACTTTATCTTTATCTGCCGAAGCTGTAAATATCCGCGAGATTTACAACGCCAAACCCAGAAGAAGGCGCGACGTTTGTGCGAATCGGTATCGGATTCGGTTTCGGTTTCGGTATCGGACTCTCTGGGATTCGGGACCCCGGGACATCGGTGTGGGTATCCGCGCCAAATGGCAGCTGGTCACTGAGCGGAGCCATTCGACACGAAAGCCATTCGCTAAACGCATCCGTTTGCGGCTAATTCCAGAGATTCGGTCAAAAACGAGTTGCTCCCCACAAGGAGCCAAGTGACTGCAATCCGCCGGATGCAGTTACAGTCACAGTCACAGATACAGATACAGATACATTAAAATACTATATACAACTGCAGATACACGCAGGGCAAGATACATCCACAAGTACAGTACAGAGAGCTCTTGTCGTGCTCCACTTGTGCCCATTGTTGCCGCTCCGCCTGTCACCGTAACTCACAATTGAATTGTTCCTTTGTTCTGTCCGCGATCGGGCGATCTCCCTGGTGATCTTCCTCAGCTCCAACTTCAGCTTCAGCTTCAGCTCCATCTCCGCTCCCGAATTTCGCATAATTGGCTCGCCGCTCTTGACTTTGTAGTTGACCGCCAGACCCAGTGTCGCCGCAGAAGGAGATCCCAGATAGGAGTTAGAATAGCAGCAGGAGGAGGAGCAGGAGCAGCAGGAGGAGGAGGAGGAGCAGCAGCAGCATCAAGATCTAGAGCAGGAGCAGCAGGAGGAGCAGGAAAAGGAGCAAGACCTAGAGCAGGAGCAGGAACAGCATTCGCAATGCTGGTGCCGCCGGATATGATGGCCGCCCAGACGCGGATGATTTACCAAATGAATCGATATTGTGCTGAACGCGTCCAGGCACGGATGTTCAAGACAGCGACGGCTATCCGTGAGATCTGCAAGATTGTCCAGGACATTCTCAAGGAGGTGGAACTGCAGGAGCCGCGCTTCATCTCCAGCCTCGTGGAGTGCAATGGCAGGTAAGGCGTTAAATATATATTTAAATAATGGAAATTAGGGAGGAATCAAAGGAAATGTTATGAATATTTATAAATAGGAATTGAGGGGATATTTAATTCTATCTATAACATATCTAAAATTTAAGTATGTTAGTAAACATTAGCAGCTTTTCAATTAAATCGGTTCTACATTTACCTATTTCATTATTAAGTATACCTATGTGTGCACTCCAGAGAGCAGACCCATAAAAGTCACCTTCACTTGGTCTTAATTGGGGGAATCCCCGATGGGCATGACTTGACACTTAACAGACACTGACGCTGCACTTTTGCCTGTAATGATCCCACTGGACTTGGAGTGGAAGGTGGAGTAGAATGGAGTTGGGTGAAGAGTAGTCACTGGACCGAGCAGAAATCGGAAGCGATGACAGTCATGGTGGACTGGAATTACGCAGAAATCAATAAGAGAGAGAGAGCTGTGATTTTTCCCTGATTTTATCCATAACATTTCACTCTTGAAAGGAATATAGAAACTTCTTTTATCTTCTTCGCAGATTCGAGGGCGTTGAGGTGATCTCCCCCAATGAGTTCGAGATTGTGCTGTATCTGAACCAGATGGGGGTCTTTAATTTCGTAGACGATGGCACCTTGCCGGGCTGTGCTGTCCTCAAGCTAAGTGATGGGCGGAAACGTTCCATGTCCTTGTGGGTGGAGTTCATCACAGCCAGCGGTTACTTATCCTCGCGAAAGATTCGTGCCCGCTTCCAGACCCTGGTGGCGCAGGCCTGCGATAAGAGTGTCTATCGGGATATGGTCAAGATGATTGGAGATACCACCGAGGTGAAGCTGCGCATAAGGGAACGCTTCATTGTCCAGATAACGCCGGCATTCAAGTGCTCCGGGATCTGGCCCAGATCTGCTGCCCACTGGCCAGTGCCGCATTTGCCATGGCCACATCCCAATATCGTGGCAGAGGTGAAGACCGAGGGATTCGATTTGCTGTCCAAGGAGAGTATCCTGATGCAGAACAAGAATAACAATAATAATAATAATAATAGTGGAAGCAGCAATGCTGCCAGCATGGAGGGCGATGCCTGGGTGCTGAGCTTCTTTGAGGCAGAGAATCGATTGCTTCAAGGTGGGTTTCTGGATCTAAGGATCTTTAAATAGTAACTATAACTAAATCCTTCCAGGTGGCTGTCGCCGTCGCTGCCTGAGCATGCTGAAAACCCTGCGGGACAAGCACTTGGAGCTGCCTGGTAATCCTATCAGCGCCTATCATCTCAAGAACCTGCTGCTGTACGAGTGCGAGAAGCATCCGCGGGACTTTGAGTGGGACGAGGGCTGTGTGGCGGACAGGATCAATGGCATCTTCCTGCAGCTGATATCCTGCCTCCAGTATCGCCGCTGTCCGCACTACTTCCTGCCCGGATTGGATATGTTCAAGGGCAAGTCTCCATCGGCCTTGGAGCAGGCTGCCAAGCAGGTGTGGCGTCTCACCCGGGAGTTGCTCACCAATGCCAATGCCTTCGAAAAGCTCTAAGGGAGAGAATAGAGGTGGCAGGCTCAAACTAGGACATTTTCTTGGCCATTTTAATAGAAAACATTAGACTTTAATTGGTTTTTATACATGTTAAGTTCAGAAATCTTTAAATTCAAACAATTTTAGAGAAAACATAGAGCGGGGTCCAAAACCGATCCATTTCCGGTTTGCGGGGGAGTGTCTGGCCTCGAGTCCTTTGGCGGCCATTTTGTGTCCTGTCCGAGAGAGAGAGAACTGAGAGAGAGAGAGTGTGTGTGCATGTGTGCTTGTGTTTATTTTTGCCAAAGTGTTAATGCCGAGATGCGAGATAAGGACACTCCCCATATGACTCGACTCTGCTCCTGCTCCTTCCCTGTCCTGCCCATCCAAGCATTATGGCTAAGCCCTCGAATATTGTTTTTAATAACGCACGAGCATCCTTTGTCTGGAAACAATGGAACAATTTCAAGGGTCCCGGTGCAGAAGGGAAGCAGGGGGAAAAAATATCGAAATGAAAAGGGAAAAAGAGCATTTGGCCAGGCGGCTCCTTTTACACATGTAGAGGAGTTGAGGACCTCTCCACGTATACGATTGTTTCACAGCTCGCAGATCCTAGATCAAAGCCGAAGGCGGGAAACACAAAAAAATATATATAGATATATACACAGGATATAGGAAGAGGGAGATTCCATTGAGTGTTTTAAGTCCAACTTTATATTGTTTTTTTTATACTACTTATATATACTTATCAATATATTTATACACATATGTATATTGTCGGTGTCTATTATTATGCGAGGCCTCACATTTACCGCGATTATTAACAGTTGGGTTTAAGTGCAACATAATCCTAGATTGCTTAAGGGAAAATGCATCACAATACTAATGAAAATAATAGAGATAATAATAAATATAATAACAGGATGGAAAATAATAACAATACTTATAATTATATTAATAAAATTCAAGCATAGCCAAAGGCAATCCATTGTTTTTTATTGTGTTCTCAAAAGCTAAACAAAGTGTATACTTATCATTTTAAAACAGGCTTGAGAACAGCATATCTGGAAAAGAAAAGTTGTTTTTAAGGTTTTAATAACAAAAATCTATGTAAAACAAACAAACTTCGAGAACACATATAATACCTAGTCAGAAGCTTTAAACTTAGTAAAGGAATCATTTCCGACCCCATAAATCATATATATTCTTGATCAGGATCAACAGGGGAATCTTTATAGGTATCTTTGGCAGAAACAATTTTTTTCTAAAATTTTAGATTTTTTGAAAAAAGGGAAAGGGGTTACATCATTAAAATTGTCAAAAATTTGAATTTTTTGACATTTCAAACTGAGTATGCAGACTTATTAACATTATAAAAACTAGCATATGACTGCTTTTCGAATTGAAATTAATGATTTTTTGGCCGAGTTATGCGATTTTTAACCTTTGATTTTTCCACAAAAATTGTCATATAAAAATATCAATATATATTATAAGTTTAGCTGTATGATTTCCAATTTAATCCTATAATTCAATTGCAAACTGCATGTGAATGTATACTTGGGCTATCAAATATTAGTTGCTTTTTATTTTTCTATAATTTTTATGATTTCGTAAGGTTTTTCGTTTACACAAACCTCAATTAAATAATTAGGCATAGAACTTGAGATATCTGAAGAACACCCTTAATTACTTCACCTTTACTTGCTCATAAGTTAAGTATAATACATTATTATAAAATGCAGGATAAATCTTTGCCAAAGAGTTCAGTTTGGATCTCATTAGTCCTTCCGGCGGCTGAGTTAATGTTATGATTATTGGTATCTGTATCCGCATCTCTTTGGACCAAATTGCGGAACGAGTATCTGCACTTTGGCAGTATCAGCAAGTATCTGTATCTGTATCTGTATCGGCGTCCTGTGGCCTCCTGTATCTTTCGATTTGGAGCCGTGGAGCGATGGGAAGATGCAGCTGCGACAACTGAACATCACTTTTATTACCCTTATTTATGGTTATGTGGGATCCAAGACCTGGCTGCTTTTGTTCCGCGGTTCTTTTGTCTTCTGGTCGCTCTTATTTGTATTTATTCCATTTCATTTCGTTGCATTATTCGTTTTTGGTATTCCTTTTCTGTTTTTTTGCGTAACGAAAACTTTCAGCGAAATGTAATCGATATTTTTCTGTGGCCACAAAAGGTGTGTGTGTGTTGTTGTGCATCTTTTAATGGGGAAGCCCAGGAGGAGCGAGTGCGGCGGAAAATAATCAACGTCAGCACAAAAAGGGCACCGAGATAACAAATTATGCCAAGGCACGCAGGGATCATATTACCAGCAGCAGCAGCAGCATCAGGACTTGCCACCCACCCACTCATCCCTGGTGGGAAAAGCATCATCAGGTGACCCTGGTCCAAGCTCTTCCTTTGGGAAGGACACGTGGCTGAGACCATGTGCCTGTTAGCCCCGCATCGATAAGGCACGATTCCCATTTCGCCTGACAAATGGCATTTGGAATGCAAGTGGGGTAAAGAAGAAGGAATCAGGAACCAGGAGGAAGACTCAAGGAACCAGGAGCCAGGACCCAAGACCAGTTACAGTGCCCGGATCCATGACACACAACACCTGCCTTCGTTCCCATCTCAATAACCAATTCCAACTCCTGTCACAAGCCACAGAAAACTGTCGTCGTCTGGGCTGCTTCATTGTTCGTCCTTCTCCTACGCAGATATCCTGCACAGTTCGGGGCATGCTCGACCAGGATAACAAAGTCAGGATACACAATATACACAGGATATGCCAGGTACGTGAGAGGGAGAGACTTTACCCATAAAGCGACTTTGATGTTTTGGGTTTTTCCTTGTTGACATTTATGCGCACCCTCCCTCTGGCTGCCACAGGTCCTTGCTACTCCTGCTCCTGCTCCTGGATACCAGCAACTGCTGCCACGCCTCGGGGCGTTTCATGGGCGTTGACATGAGGCTTTACGTATGCGTCGCATTGTCCTGCGTCCTGGCATTTCTTTGTTTTTAATTGTTTACTAACGATATTTAAATTAGTGCTCTAAATGACCGCGGGCGGTTTCTTCTCACATAACCCATTATCCTTTGTACATTATCCTTGCTGTCTTTTGTTTTGGTTTTTGTTGTTTTGCTTTTTGACATTTCATTTGTTAGATCTTTGAGAGGGTTGACAAGCTCTAGCAAACAGAGGGTTAAGAAAGAGTCCCAAATAAATCATTTAAGGCATAAATATTAGGTTTTATAATTTCTAAAATATATTCCAAAGTTTCGGGGTACTTTATATAAGAAATAAATTAATATCTTAGCTCCTGAACTTTGTTATTTAAACAATTGCATCAGCTCTCTTGCTCCCTGAGAAGCCTCCTCTTCTTTAGGTCGGAAAATTACACATTTTCCGGCTCCCCTTTCATCTCAATGCCACTGCATTTTTCCTATGTGCATAATTATGTCGTCATTATCAAAAACACGTGGTGCAATTTAACAACATGACAAAAGGAGGAGACACTCGGCAGCAGGCGACATCCTCCAGCCTCTTTGCCATCCATCGCCAGCACACGCCACAAATTATGAATATCAGAGAAATGCACAAGATGAATGGCACAGGAAAATATGCCAGAGCGGGATGGAGATAGGGATAGAGAGAGTGGGAAATTAGTTTTCCACGCATCGCCAGCAAACACAATGGAGCAATGAAAAAGCGGGGCCAACCGACGGCGGCACCTACACGTGATAATTTAGAGCAGATTGTCGCCTCCGCGGGAAAGCGGGAAATGGGAGGGATGTGGCCCATCAGTGCTGACGGAAAATTATTGGGAAAACCAGCGGGAAAAGTGCCCAAATAATTTGGTTTTAAATAAACCCGAATATACCCTTGAAGGGTTCTAAGATTTCAGTCAGAAGCTTGTAAGGCAGGGAAGGAATCATTTCCGACCCTATAAATCATATATATTCTTGATCAGGATCAACAGGGGAATCTTTCTGGTTACCTCCGGCAAGAAAAATTTTTTTTTAGAATTTTAGATTTTTGAAAAAAATGAAAGGGGTTACATCATTAAAATTGTCAAAAATTTGAATTTTTTTACATTTCAAACTGAGTATGCAGACTTATTAACATTATAAAAACTAGCATATGACTGCTTTCCGATTTGAATTTAAGGCTTTTTTGGCTGAGTTATGTGATATTTAAATTTTGATTTGTCGAATAAATTGTCATATATTTTAAGCTTACTTATGATCGATTTCCCGTTCGATCTTTGTTTATAATCCTGCTCGTCCTTAAGATAATTTATCTATCTATTCATTTAGTTGCGTGTTCGTTCATCAGTCTCTATATTCATCAAGATAAAATGCTACAAAATATCTACAAATAATAAATATAGATCCCCCAAGATCTGAGAGAAATGCACAACACTATCGCTTGTATAGTCCTCCAGAGCAGAGGGATAACTTAGGGGGGAAGAACACTTTAGATCCATCGTATTTTTGGATGGACATTTGCATTCAATTACGGCAGCTGTGAGCCGGCCCTGATTTATATTTATGCACGCGTCTCTGACGGCCCATAAAGGAAACCCCAAAATGCGCCACAGTGGCGGCGGGAGAGGAGTGTTCCATTGGGAAAAAGGGGGAATCCCCCAGCTCCCCATCGGAAGCCAAATAGAAAGAGTTGCCTGCCTGCGCTCAATCATAATTATGTGATTTGTTTGCGACGCCGGCGCGGGCGACTAATTAAACGGAGGAGTGACACAGCGAGTGGTGGGTGGGTGTGGGATGCTCATCCTATTCCAGATTCCACCCCCCTAAACCCCGATCCTCTCCAGGAATGGGTGAAGTCTGTTGACGTATTGTCGCTGATGTCGCCCGCTGGAATTATGACATTTTGATTTGAGCCCCATTTGATGTCCCTCAGCCGGCGCTCCTCGCTCTCTGATTTATGCCCCAGAGTCTGCCTGGGGAAAATGTAGGGAAAAGCCTTGGCCAAAAGAAAATGGGGGAGGGGAAAAAGGGTGAACAGAAGGTGAACTAATTGAGAGGCGGACTGGGAGCACTCAAAAGTGGGAGGCACTTAGACAATGTGTTGCCCCAACCTTCCTCTGCTGCCACAAACAAGTGAAGAGGTGAATGGGGAAAGGGCAACATTCGGTGGCAACTGGCCCCTCTGTGGATGGGATCAAGAGTTCGCTTTTGGATTGCGGAGAGTTATCCCAAATCGATTAACATTATTAATGAATGCATATCATGGGAATAAGTGGGAGCCGCGAGTGAGACAGAGTCAAAACACGAAAAGGTTTTCAATTCAATTTCAATTCCCAGAATCGAAACCGAAACGAAATGAAATGAACTCCGGCGAAACATTGTCAACATGATCATCAACTGTCTCGCTTTCACCCGCCTAGCCCCGTCTCTGTCTCTGTCAACATATTTATGGGCCAGCAGCATTGGAGCCCCGATTGAGGTTGACTTTGAGGTCGGGCCTAAAGCGGGGAATACACTGCTAAAAACAAGTTAAGAAGCTCACTTCAAGATGAGGCTTATAATGGTAGATTTTTATATATTGTTTGTGTGCCAAATTTGATTTTAAATGATTATAGATGGGTTTTCAAGGCAAAAGCTAAGATCTTATAAGCTGAAGTTTTCTAGCTTAAAGATGAGGCTTACTAAGATAAAAACAATATATAGTTTCAATGTTTCTTTACAATAATAATAATCATTATATTTATGGTTTAAATCTTTAGCCTTTCTAGGTTTCATAATATCTTGTTCACCTTGATTGTTTTCAATTTATAAAGTCTAGATATAATATATATTTTCCCAGTGCACTTGGGGACTGGGGAGCATTGGAATGTCCAAATGTTCGATCATAAAACAAAGACCCAGAGCCACAGAAAAC